GGAACAAGTATAGCCTGAGTAAATGATCAAAATTTAAATTTTTGTGTGAACTATCCCTTCAAGGTGAACATTTAGTTTGTTTTGGTCATTTTTAATCCAACTCGAACTAATCTGGAACAACAGTCCTTCTCTGATCATGTCAGTTTGATGGATTGGATGAAATATGCTTAGCCACACCCCTCCAATTGCAAATCAAACATAAGAGGAGGAGCGCAAAAACATCAACCCCGCCCCCTACTCAAAATTCAGATGGAATTATGCCGTCATTCTGAAGCAAGTCAGCATGAAATTTAAACTTGCAATGTTTATTCTGATAGCACATATTGTTAGTCTTAAAGGGATAGTTCACCCAAAAATTTAAATGTAATTGCTATTTACTCATCCTCAGGTGGTTGCTATCCTTTAAGAGTTTCTTTCTTCTGGTGAACATTTTTAAGACTATTCCAACCTGTAACCATTGACTTCCATAGTAGAGTAAAATTTAAATTTTTGTGTGAACAATCCCTTCAAGGTGAACATTTAGTTTGTTTTGGTAATTTTGAATTCATCTCAAACTAATCTGGAACGGCAGTCCTTCTCTGATCAGGTCAGTTTGATGGATTGGATGAAATATGCTTAGCCACACCCCTCCAATTGCAAATAAAACATAAGAGGAGGAGCGCAAAAACATGAACCCCGCCCCCTACTCAATATTCATTTGGAATTCTGCCGTCATGCTGAAGCAAGTCTGATTTTTAAAAGCAAGACTTTAAAAGTAGTTCCTGTTGTTGCAAAGAAACCACCTGGGAACCTTTATTTTGAAGAGTAACTCACCATTGTTGAGAACATGTTTTTGAGGCTGAACGCTTATTAATATAACATGAAGCATCTGAGCCATGTATACTGTACATTCTTTGCCAGTGGATGATTTATTCAGACAAAGCATGAACAGGGGAAGGTGACTAGTAAAGTAGTTGTTTGAGGTGATGGAGACTGACCCGACAAACACGAGTCGCCTCAGAGATTGTACCATGCCATTTGACTCCCGCAATAACCGGAGCACTTTTTTTTTTTTTTTTTCAATTCAACATAAAGGCCTTTCTATTGGGGTATTCCTTATTATTATTTTAATATATATCTATATATAATATAAAAATATCTGTTTAATACGTTCTCTTCTTTAAGGAACTGCATTGATTCATGTTAATGTTCCCGTTCTCGAGACAAAATTAAGGCGTTTAGTTATTGTCGAGAAGAAACTGGAGATCGGTTTGGCAACTATCCCACTATAAAGCACCCAAAAAAAATCCAGCTTATATTTCTGTTTCCTTTCGTTTTTCTTACAGAAAAGGATTTGAGTTGGAAACATCTTTGAGACAACACTTCTTATTTTTTTTCTTTTCTTTTTTTTGAAGGGAAAAAAATATAGCATTTTAGTGTTTTCCCTCTGGAAAGTATATGAAGATTAAATATATACGGCAAAAAGCATTATTTGATATTCTGTCTTGTTTTCAGTAAAAATATTAATTTTATATTCATAGTTTATATTCAATTTAAATAGCAATTAAATTAAAACATATGAACCAAATTAGTTTTTTGAAATAATTTTTCTAATCTCATTAGCAAAATGTTTTTGTTTTGTTTTCAACACAAATCTAAAAAAGGCTAACACTTTATTTTGATGGTCCATTTGAGTATTTAAGATCTCAAAACTCAGGGCTTCTGATAGTACCTAGAATGGCAAAGTCGAGTTAAGGAGGTCGAACCTTCTCGTTTATGGCTCCTAAACTCCGGAATAGCCTTCCTGATAATGTCAGAGGTTCAGACACACTCTCGCAGTTCAAAACTAGATTAAAGACCTATCTTTTTAGTAAAGCATACACTCAGTGCATCACTTAGCAATGTAATACATGAATGTGCTACACGCAGGTTTTTGCATCCCGTTTAAATGAACAGAAGCTACTATTTCCACCTGGGGATACTCATCTCGAGGCCCTCAGAGACTATGTAGCCCCACTAATTCGATCCAAGACCAGCGACGAGATGATCCCAAGGTTTCTATAATCCTGGACCTGGCTGTATACTGAGCAGCTGCTGTGGTGGTCATGAAGGAGTGGAGAGCACAAGACGTTTGGCCAGAGGAGAAATGGTCGTGCCCTACTGAGCCTGGTTTCTCTTGAGGTTTTTTAATTCTTCACTTTCGCCATTGGGTGAAGTTTTTTTCCTCGCCACTGGCTTGCATGGTTCGGGATCTGTGCAGCTGTGCATCGATGGATTACTCTACAGTGTTTGGACTCTATTATTATTAATTATTATTATTAAAACACTGAACTGAGCTAAACTAAACTTAAACTCTGAAAACTGAACTACACTGTTTCAATTTACTATGATCTTTTATGTGAAGATGCTTTGACACAATCTACATTGTAATACAAATAAAGGTGAATTGAATTGAGTATTATCTGCTGACATACTCCTTCAACAAACGTTTAACTGACTAGAAGAAACTTTGCCAGAACATGTCAACTTACACTAACCCCAACCTAATAGTCTACTCTATAATCTATAATGAGAATTAGTTGACATGTAGATGCAATGCAACTTAAATTTAACAAACGGACCATCAAAATAAAGTGTGACCAAAAAAAGTCTATGTGCAATAAGGCGCAAGACTTGTATGGTGTGATTTGTTTCTATTTTTAAACCAGCCCAACAGTAATTTTCATATTTTGCACCACGTTGTTTAAATAGCGAATCCATTTGTGCCGTTTTTGTGGACTCATGGGTGTGTTGGTCCGAAAAGGAGCTGCGTTAAGGTGAACTGTTGGTGCGTTGCTATTTTAAGGAACTTAAATAGACCATTGAACAACTAAAAACTGGTCTAAAGTCCAGCACAGAGCAAGTTAGTTGTGTGCCTATGCAGGTCCAAACGCTTACACTTAACACTTGGGATGTAAACCAAAACACCAATATCTTTACATATGAAAACAACTCAAGGATTGAAATGTTACAAAAATTATTATTTTCAACATAAATATAAAAAACACTACCTCCATGCTTCATCTCGGGGGGCTTTTTTCAGATTACTCATGACAAATTTAATTTGTATAATGTTATTATTATTAGCAGTATTATTTATTATATGCATATTAATATTTGTTTAAAAATAAAAAAAAGTTTAGATTTGTCCACTTGTCCGGCTTTGGACCAAATTGGCCATAAGAATAGGTGTTTGAATATAACTCAGCTTTTTGATCACACTTCTTTATTATTGTTCATTAATTTGTTTGCTTGAAATCAGAACTCAATTTAGAAATAGTTTTGAAAAAAAATTTGTGCTTAACAAACTAAATTAAATATGTAGGCTAATGGATGTCTGCAGTGGAGTGAGTTTCCACTATTTCCTTACTCCATGAAAGTAAAAGAGTAAAGAGAAAGTAAAGAGGCCGAATACAGGAGGCTCATTCTTTATCCTCACGCTGCAGATGCTCTGTTTAACAGTTTTCTCACTAGTTCAGTTTTTCCTCTTACAAAGTCCGCCATGTAAACAGTAAATGCACCATGGCGTGATGCAACCGACTCTTAAAGGAAATGGGAGATGAGACGCTGGTTAGTTTAATGCACAATATGTTCAAAACACACTCAAAACTCAATAAGAGTATAGGCACAACCCTGTTAGACCATGCGCCGGGGCGCACACCATATTTTTCCGTCCTTAAAATAGCAAAAGAGGATTCGGACACGGCCTTAATGCTTTTGTGCATTGCGACTTTGTGTCTAGATCTTTTAAATAGAGCCCTATATATTTAAATGAATAAATATAATCTAAAATTCAACCAAATTCTGATATATTCTTAATTTGATTCTCTGGTATTTTGCTGTGAGGATATTTAGATTTTCTAATATATATATATATATATATATATATATATATACATATATATATATTTGAGAGAAAAATAACAGATAAAATAATGATTTTTGCCGCTTTTGGAAACTCCTCTTTCCCCATATGGCTATGCTTTTTTTGCCAACAGTCTGATGACTTCTCTTGAATTTTTATCTCCCTTTGGCTGGTGATTTAATTGACCGTAAAAATAAATATGACAAAAATAATCTTTGGATATCAAATATGCATCAACTCAAAAGCCACCCTCGTATCCCTCTGAGGAAAAAACGTCCGCTATCTGAAGCGCAGCCGTGGCTGCTGAAGGTGATTACAATAATTCAATTCTGAAACATATACATATGAGTATACAGTATTTACATATACTCTGGATGCAGCTTATGTAAATTTGGCTTAAATATAAGAACGACAATACTATGCTGTGATACAATGTAATCATTCCTTTACAACACGCACGCACGCATTAACACACGCTCTCCCACAAACTCACGCTTCCAACTACAGGTTTAGTGTCTCGATCTAATCTCATTGTTATTGTTCAGAATGGTTAAAGGGCTTGGGATATAAATGCCAGTTTCGAGGAAGAATAAACAGCTAGTTCTTCCCTTTCCTGGCCACGCCAATTGAACGCGAAACCAAAACGAGCCGTTCAAGTTGTGGAAAAAGTCAAATCAGTGTAAAAAATATAAAGTACCTGCATAAGTAATGCATGACGTAAAGGCTCCAGGAGCCACCTGACGAAAAGAGCCATTTCTTTCACAAGAACAACCACAAATAAACAACTTAAAAAAAGAACATACACATATATATATTCATATTTATATATATATAAAAAAAAAATGAGAAGAGAACGTTCTTCAAGTCAGTCAAATGCACCAGTTGTTTTTCGGGAACCAGGAGAGACCGTAAAAAAGGAAAAGACAGTAGCTATGTTTCCATCTAAAGATGTGAATTAAATGTATGCGCAAAACTGGAATATCGCACAAAAGATTAGCGAATGAAGCAGCGTTTCCATCCAACGAATCGAACAAAATCGTCACTCCCTGATGAACTGCCACCAAATACGAAAAAGGAAAACAGAATTTGCTGTGGTAGGAGAATCTGCGTGAGTCTATTTAATTTAAATGAACTTAATTTAATAAATTACTTGTGCCTCAAAAGACAATGTCAACACACAATAGACATGTGGTGGCATTTCGAGGCGTGAGACACGAAACACAGATGCTCAAGACATTTCTGGAGTTAATTAATAATTTAACAATAATAATAACAATAATAATAATAATAATAATAACAAAAATAATAATGATGATGATACTGAAATGGCATTTAGGGCATTTCAGAATGACCAAAACAACATTTCCGATGTTTTACAATGTTTTCGGTCGCAGGTTTGTCCATTATTGCGTCACACACACATTTTTTACACGCATAGCGCACAATTTTTTTTAATACTGAAAGGCATCCTTTTCACAAGACGCGTTTAACGGGTCAGAACTTTTAAGATATAAACATTTATATATGTTCACGTATGTATTACATCGTCTTTGCGTCCAATTACAAAAAACGAATTACCGCTTACGCGGGGTGTTTCTAATGCAGCATCTTGATAACGCCATCGTGGAGCTTTTCTTTTATTATTTCAGAAAATAGGATTGTAAAAAAATATTTGTTGAACTCTACCATTCACTGCATTCTAAAGGCAGATTTATACTTCTGCATCAAGCACACGGGTATGCTCCGGTGCAGCCATCGCATGTTCGCATAGCCCTCGCCGTGGCCATCGCCGACGCACACCACTCAAAAGAGTGTAACTACACGTCACAACGACGATTAGCGCAAGCTCTGTGATTGCTGTACGTGGTAGTGTTGACGAGTGTGGGCGGGGCCGAGAGCCACGCAAACCCATTGGAGCGAGTGTTTAATAGTGTTGAGTCCTGTGAAGGAGCTCCTGATGGAAAGTTTTGTTTTGTGTTTACCTTATGATTAAAGTTGTTGCACGTCCGCCAGTTCCTGCCTCAAAATGGGCGAATTTAAGCTGCTTGTACATTAAGGTAGCGTTCAGAAAAAACAGAACACCAGCGAAGAAACTCGACACAGCGGAACATAAAAACCTAGCGCTAGCGTTTCAGAAGTGTTACTGCAGAGCAACACAAGCAGCACGCAGAAGTATACATGCATGGCATCGCGCAAGGAATGCGCCGTGGGTCATGCCGATCACTCAATGCAGAAGTATAAACCAGTATAAACTATGACAACTTCCGCTACTGAGAAACCCGGGAATATGAAAAGGGTCCATTTATTCGGTAAAAGTGTTTCCATCATAGTTTATCCTACTCATTTGTGTTTGTACGTTTTTTTACAAACGTTTCGAAACGTTATCCATGCGATAATCCAAGATGCGCATAACAATAAGTGGATGGAAACATAGCTAGTGAAAGCTCCAACAACGGGGTGGTCGCTCTGGGTTTGGTCCACTCCTGCGCTCCTCAGTGCTGGCGTACGCGGGGCATGTTTAGAGTCATTTTGGGCTTCATCCCACAGCTTTGTGCTTTCCCCCGCAGCAGCCACAGGCCACCCCGCAGCGGTGGCACCCGTGCAGCGGCGGGTAGCAGCACAGACAGGGCGCAAGCATGGCCAGACCCAGCAGAGCCGTCCAGCGAAGGCAGAAGCGCTCCTCGCTGGTGTCGCAGGAGCATGGGTCCGAGTAGTCGCCCTCTGGGTCGGACATGCAGTGGTAAAGCATGCTGTCGGCGCACCACATGAAGCTGACCCGGTGGATGCAGGTCCGGATGGGATCGGGAGCGTCATGGCACTGCCCGCGTTGGTTCTCCTCGTGATTGAACATGTCCCGGCAGTAGACGCAGCGCGATCGCTCACCGTCCTCTTTCCTCCGCTTGCCTTTAAGGATGAAGGCCCTTGGCTGGGTGGACACTACAGTGCTCCCACCACCGCAGGGCCTCTTCAGGTCACACTGAGTAAAATCGGGGCTGGGCACATAGGGGTAGGTGTAGTCGTGCTTTACAGGATCGTTCTTGCTGATTTGAACATATGAGTCTGAGTCCTGCGGTTGGATGAACTTGTCCGGCACGGCAGCGTATCGGTAGTCCTCATAGCCTGTGATCATCCAGCGCTCGCGGGGGTTTATTCGGACAATCTCCTCGTCCTCGAAGGAGAACAGGTTCCTAGAGAACTTCTAAAAGGTGAGGGAAACATACAGTACATGTTATGATCATATATTGTGATATTGAATAGTGTCACTTGTTTCAAAAGTGTAGTTTATTTGTTCCAAGTTCTTTGATGTTGTAATACTGTTTTAACCTTGCACATTTTTAAGGCAGCTTACTCTTTTTTTTTTTGTTTGAAAATATTTTTTCCTCTATGGTGAGTTACCCAGTACTGGGAAACCACATGTCTTTGAACACTGGGGGAAACCGGATCGCCTGGAGGAAACACACGAACACGGGGAGAACATGCAAACTCCACACATGACAATGAAGGGCATCACGGTGGCGTAGTGGATGGCATGATCGCCTCACAGCAAGAAGGTTGCTGGTTCGAGCCTCGGCTGGGTCAGTTGGCATTTCTGTGTGGAGTTTGCATGTTCTCCCCGTGTTTGCATGGGTTTCCTCCGGGTGCTCCGGTGTCCCCCTCAGTTCAAAGACATGTGGTATAAGTGTAAGTGTTTCTGTGTATGGGTGTTTCCCAGGGATGGGTTGCAGCTGGAAGGGCATCTGCGGCGTTAAAAGTTTCAGTTTACAATAAGTGTTTAATTTTTCAATTATGTTTGCTTGTGAAAACACTATTGATTCTCAAGAGAATTTGTCATCTGAAACGTGCAAGATATGTACCCAGAGCAAAAAATTTAATCTGTAAAGTAAAGCATTTTGGGTTGGTTTTTGATGCACGTTCCAACAACAATAACCCCTCTTCAAAAATATCTTCTTTCTTATTCTGTTACTGCCATGAGGGCGGGACAACTTGGCAATCACAAAATTCGGCAAAAGCAAACCACAACCATTCAATCAATTCACAATATGCAAGTCAAGCTGGGTCTTTAAAATTTCTTGTTACTTTCCGATTATTATTATTGACAATAATAATGCTTAAAACAGTTGCTTAATATTTTGAGAAAACATTTTCCAATCTTTTTTTTTTTTTTTTTTTGGTGGGGGGTGGGGGCATTCTTTAGAATCAAAATTTGAGATCAGCTTTTATTTTTATTTTTCAAATATCTCCTAAATGATGTTTAACCGAGCAGTGAATTTTTCACAGTATTTTTTATAATATTTTTTCTTCTGGAGAAAGTCTTATTTGTTTTATTTTGGGTAGAATAAAAGCAGTTTTTAATTTTATTAAGGTCAATATTATTAGCCCCTTTAAGCAATATTTATTTCCTTTATTGTTTACAAAAAAAAAACATTTTTATACAATAGCTTGTCTAATTACCCTAACTTGCCTAATTAACCTAGTTAAGCCTTTAAATGTCACATCAAGCTGAATACTAGTATCTTGAAAATTATCTAGAAAATATTATTTACTTTCATCAAGGCAAAGATAAAAGAAATCAGTTTTTAGAAATGAGTTATTAAAACTATTATGTTTAGAAATGTGTTTAGAAATTTCCATAAATATACAAGGGGGCTAATAATTCTGACTTCAACTCTATGTACTCCCATTTCTGTTTAATTTAAGCACACTCACAGAATAAAACTGTAGTGCACTTTCATTTTAAATGGTCTCAGACTGTTTTCCTGATCTAGATTGTCTTAATATTCACTGAATTATCTAAAAATCTGGATATAATGGAGCTTCCGCACCTGATCCAGAGTGTAGCGTTCAGGCGGCCGGTACTGCAGGATGCAGCGGTGCGGATGAGGCTCGTAGAAGGTGGAGGTGGCCACAAGCTGAGTGCTGTGATCCTTCTTCTGAGATGAGTTTGAGGAGCTGTCGGTGGCAGTCTGAAAAAACAGACACAAAACAACGAAAAATGACAAACCATCATCTCCGAAAACTGAACAAAAAAGCCATACTGTCCAGGAAACTGTGGTTAGTTTTAAAACAAGACAAGATGACAATCCCAATCACAGACAGGTGTTTTGCCGAACGAATGCAGTTTTCCATGAGCTCATGAGCAACTGGAATTGATTCCCAGCTAAACATTAATACACCACACACACAGCCATATATACTGCACATGAACACACACGCGTCAGTGCAGTCAATCCGACGTGACGTGGCTCAACTTCAGTGTGCAATTAAACAAAAAAATAAATAAATCAGGCCTCGGGCCGCAGGATCTGTAAAAACCTCTGAAGTCTCCCTGTTATTAGAGGAACTCGAAATGATTCCAGCATGCTGGGATATAGGCCATCACACACAAAACCAACAGCTCTGGTCTGTAACATCACCAGAAAGACCTACAGAACACCTCTGTGTTTGAGAAATCAAGATATTCCTATCCTACTTCGAAAAAAAAAACAAAAAAAAAAAACATGTCAATTCAATGTATAGCCACGTTTTAATGCTAATGCAACTTAAGTCATTCCCAACTGAGCCTGGTTTCTCTCAACGATTTTTTCCTTCACTTTTGTCAATTGGTGAAGTTTGTTCCTCGTCACTGTCGTCACTGGCTTGCTTGGGGACTTGTGGGGCTGTGCATCGATAGATTTGCTCTTCAGTGTTTGGACTTTCAGCAGTGAAAATAAACCACACTGAACTGAACTAAACTGAACTTCAACTCTAAAAAATGGACTGACGCAGTTTCAATTTACTAGAACTTCTATGTTAAGCTGCTTTGACACAATCTACATAAATAAATAACGATGAATGAACTTAAAAATCTGAATAAGGAATGCAAAGATCAGATTTAAGGTGAGGCAGTGGCGCAGTAGGTAGTGCTGTCGCCTCACAGCAAGAAGGTCGCTGGTTTGAACCTCTGCTCAGTTGGCGTTTCTGTGTGGAGTTTGCATGTTCTCCCTGACTTTGCGTGGGTTCCTTCCGGGTGCTCCAGTTTCCCCCACAGTCCAAAGACATGTGGTACAGGTAAATTGGGTAAGCTAAATTGTCCGTAGTGTATGAGTGTTTGTGTGAATGATGTTTCCCAGAGATGGGTTGCGGCTGGAAGGGCAACTGCAGTGTAAAAACTTGCTGGATAAGTTGGCGGTTCATTCCGCTGTGGCGACCCTGGAATAATAAAGGGACTAGGCCGACAAGAAAATGAATGAATGAATGAAAGATCAGATTTACTTTTTCAGCCCTGCAAAGGCAGCAATTGTACCACCTATTGTACCCTCTGGATTTGTGCTAGGAAAAAAAAAACACTGTTTAAATTACATTTAAGAGAGTAAAATATGCACTTGGGAAACGATTGAAAATTAATGCAAGTGAACAAACGACTACAACATTTATCTACTTAGTATTTAACTTGAGCGTAGACAACGCTCAATAACACGTTACATCCGCAGATGTAAATTGTTTTTTTTTTTTTCCTCCCATTCTTGCATTCTCTCTCTCTCCCCCTTTCCAGGGGTCCGATCTTCGTACGTGGATTAATCAATTACCTGGATTTGATTATTGAAGATTGGACACAATCCAGGATCGTTTCGTTCTTCAAAACTCCTCTGAGAGTTGTTGTCATAGCAACAGTTCTGGTAGCTCAAATCTGCACGGGAGCAGGCTCATTTCATATAAACCGGATCGGGTCATTTCAAGCAAAGGTAATACTGAAAGTATGTACCAAATGCTGATATTTTCTTACAGTAGTAACCCATAGGTTATATACAATTGGGAAAATAGTAAAATAATAATAAAAAATACTGTGAATACATTAATAATTTATAATAATAAATAATATTTAATATTAAACAATTAACTATTTTTTATGTTTATATTCATATAAGTTTAAATATATATATATATATATATATATATATATATATATATATATATATATATATATATATATATATATATATATAAATAAAACTTATGCAATCTAATCTCCGAAACAAAAACAAGGTGGTTCTCCCCAAGGGGATGAAAGAGAACATTTATTAATATAGACTTTTTAGACACAAATGCGTACTATTTTGAGGTACTGATTCAGCTTTAGTACAATTTCTGTATGATAATAGACATGCACAACATTCAACTGTTTTTCATTTATTTGTTTGTTTTTATAAAGAAATAGTTTATGCAGTCATGCACTTGTTTTGACAGCTAATATGTCGGTGATTTGATGCTTCGCATATCCAAATGCTTTTTGATGCAAAATTAATTTAAATTCTTTATGCCGATTAAGAAACTTAAATAGGCAAAGACTACTATAAAAAGCCAATCTAGAATGTAAAACTAAATAAATTGCTAAATACTCTAAACGCATGAAAGTGTAAAGCCTGCCGCTCACAACACACGTGTAAAGTTATTGCGTATCACATTTAACAAACTGTTTACTTCTTGATAACTGATCTCTGGCTAATTTGGTTTTTCAAACAAGTTTGCGAATCAGATTAGAATGTCTGCAAGAACTGATCTGAGATCGCTGCTTGTGTTGTGAAGGACTAATCTAATGATCTTCGAAACCATGATCAGCAATGTAACGATTGCTGCGTAGTGACATCATCTGATTAACATTCAATTATCCATGTGAGCAATATTACATCAAATTAGCAGTGAACGGTTTGTTAAATATGATACGCAATAACTTGCTTTACACTTTCATGTGTCAAGAGTATTAAGCAATTTGTTTAGTTTTACATTTAGAACAGAATTTGTTTATTAAAGGCCTATTCAAGTTTTAATAGTAGTAGTAGTAATTATTATTTATTATTACTGTTAAGAGAAGTTGGATACAATTACCATCGTAGTTTATTATGTAGTCTTATTATCGAATATTTAAAAAAAAAAAAAGTACAGTGGTCCCTCATTAATTTGCGAGAGTTAGGTTCTAAAATTACCTCGCATTAGGCAAAATCTGCGAAGTAGTTCACTTTATTATTGATGGCACCCTACAACCGCGTAACCTCTACCTTCCTTTAGCATGTCCAGAAGTTCAACTTTTGTGTGATGGTTAGCATCTTCCTCTGCCTTTTGGGTGCTACCACAGGTGCCTTTGAGGGTGCAGAACGTTTCGTCGACATTGTGAGGTTTGTTCGGGAGAAAAGTTGCAAACATACAGTACAGCTCTTCAGAGTCACACTGCTAGCGATCGAAGATGTATGTAAATTTGGCAAGCTGAACACATTCTGTACTGCACAATGCGCTAATCAGGACATAGAACACAATGTGTTGTCAAACTGCACTAAAAAAATCTGTGAGGCTGCAAAAGGTGAACTGCGTTGCAGCGAGGGGCCACTGTATCTACATTTAGGACATTTTCCGATTTTATGCACATTTTGGAATTTTCATTCATTGGTGCTATTCTGTATTTCCCCAAAATATGCATAGAAGCATGTGGACGGGAACACTGTGTGAAAAAAACTGTTTACATCAACTATACCATCTATTTTAAATGTAACATATTACAATGTTTAATCAAACACAAAGGTAGCTATGAACATCTAGCTAAGTAAAATGAGTGGAGAGTGTTGGAGAAGAAGGAAAAGGAGTGTAGGTTTGCTTTATTGTTGCCAGGTAGGAGTGAAACTGAGAGAATCTAAAACAGAGGTCAATGGAAACGGCCACATGTCTACTTCAAACACATGAACAGAAATGTAGGATTTGATCTTTCTGCCTGGACCAACTCCAGCACAATTTTCCATGCTAGTCATTAAACACAAAACATAAGAATGGTGCAGACAGCTGCATGTGGAGGTGGACAGAAAAGACAGACAGATAGACAGACAGACAGACAGACAGACAGACAGACAGACAGAAATGCAGACTGAAAGGCAGACAGAAAGGAGAGGCATAAAGGCATTCAGAAAGACAGGCAGACAGACAGACAGACAGACAGACATACAGACAGACAGACAGACATACATACAGACAGACAGACAGACATGCATACACGCAGACAGGCAGGCAGAAAGACAGACAAACAGACAGACAGACAGACAGATGGAAAGATAGACACACAGGCAGAAAAGTAGACAGACAGGCAAAAAGGAGAATAGATTGAAAAGCAGACAAACTGAAGGAAAGACAGACAGACAGACAGGCAGATACAGAAAGATGGGCAGACAGACAAAGGCAAATTGAAAGATAGACAGAGAGACAGACACAGGCAGAGAGAGAGAGAGGCAGACAGACAGAAGGTAAGACAGTCAGAAAGGCAAACTGACAGACAGAAAAATGGGTAAACAGACTAAGGTAGACTGAAAGACAGACAGAGAGACAGACAGATAAAAAACGGATGGAAAAACAGAGAGGCACACAGAAAGAGAGGCAAAAAGACAGACAGACAGACAGACAGAAACACAGATGAAAAAGATAGACAGACAGAAAAGCGAATAGACTGGCAAAAAGGAAAATAGATTGAAACGCTGACAGAAAGACAGACAAACAGAAGGAAAGACAGACGGAAAGGCAAACTGACAGACAGAAAAAATAGGCAAACAGACAAAGACAGACTGAAAGACGGACAGAGAGACAGACAGATAGAAAAACAGATGGAAAAACAGACAGGCACACAGAAAGAGAGGCAAAACAACAGACAGACAGACAGAAACAAAGATGGGCAGACATAAAGACAAAAACAAAGACTGAAAGACAAAAAGGCAGAGAGACAGGCAGAAAGGAAGACAGACAGACAAACAGATAGAAAAACATATGAAAACACAAACAAGAAAGAGAGACAGAAAGAAAAAAGAGAAGACAGACAGAAAGACAGGCAGACAGATAAACAGACACACAGACAGAAAAGCAGACAGGCAACAAGGAAGGCATCAGGCAGAAAAGCAGACAGAAAGACAAACAGAAGGAAAGGCAGACAGACAGGCAGACAGACGGACAGACAAAC